TAAACCACTCAAATATTTTCATGCTCATTACCCAGACAAACATGATTAATCTAATATTTTTCTTTCCTCCCTATTTTATTCTTTTTTCTCTCTCCAGACAGATTTCTTCTTTTTTAAAAAATACGTTTTATTGATTTTTAACAAAATCACCTTAATATTTGGTAAACAGCATGTTGTCTGGGTTAGTATTTAAAAAACAATCAATTACAATTAATTTCTATAATTCTATAGTCCATATAATGGCTTTGCTTGATTTTCTCTTCTTCCAATAATATTCTCTTTTGCCAACCTTAAATTAATACAGTTCTTATTTGAATAAATGACAATTAAATATAGATATTTTTCTCATGTTTCTGCAAATAATAACCAAATCAATATAAAGCTTCTTTTTTAATTGCCTTGTCATAGATCCTGTTTACAGAATTCTTATTTAAATTTGTTTTCCCCACAATATTCAAAGCATTCTTACTGGTTAAGATTTTCTCGAAATTAGTTACACTTAAGTATTTAAGTCTTTTTTCTTATACAAGCCATCCCAACACCTTTACATTTCTCATATCTTAAAAAGAGAGAGAGAAAAACAGAGAAAACATTTCTTTTATTTAAACCATCCCAACATTTTTATATTTCTCATGTCAAAAAGCAAAACACAAAGAAAAAAGAAAGAAAAAATACTATGTTACTTGAGGGGTTCATCTCTCTTAAACTAATTTTCATTTATATCCAAAATCTTTCTATTTCTTTAACCATATTCAAACAGATGTTTATTTTTTAAATATTCCCTCTGGTAAATCCCGTCATCTAATTTCTTAATTCTCACTTTAGACTCTTTTTTCTGCCAAACATCTTTCCTGAACAATATGCTTCTCTGAATCAAAGAATCTTTCCATAATCTTAAAAGTGTTGATGCAGGTACAAAAGGCAAAACAGATAAAATATTTTGTAGGAAGGTTTTGCTCCTTTGTATTCACTGAGAGTCTTCTCCTTTCTTTCTTTCTTGATTTTATTTATCATTTTTTGTCTCTCAAGTTCTCGTAGTTCTCCTGGAAGAATCCATTTTGTCAAATCTTTTTTCTTGTCTTCACTTATTTTGTAATCTTAGGATATAGTTTATCTTTTCCATGTCCAGTATTTCTGTAAGTTTTTTTTTCTATCTGAGTTAAGTCATATTTTCTTCTAATGTTAAGTTCCATCTTGAAATCATTCTCCTCTGTCTTGTATTCGGTTGTCTGTTTTTTCTGCTCACTTTTTATTTTTTGAGAATTTTTGTGTTGTAAAGTTAAATTGGAGATGTGTTCATTTATATTTTCAAAGTTATTTTTAATTTTCTCATGGTTTGAGATAATTGTTGTTTGATTAGTAGCAACATAGCATAGATCTCCTTCTGGAAAGTATTTGTTTTTTCTTGGTATATTCTTGCTGCAGATCTCTGGTTTTCCATGATAGCTAAAAATCAGTGTTTTCCTTTTCTGCAAACAGCTTTAGAGTCACAGTTAAGTTGGTATTTCTAATCCAGAAAGGTCAATTCTTTTTTTTTTAATAGTTTATAATTCTCACTTTGTAGATAGCCTAAAATTTTCTTTCTTTTTTGTCACAGCTATTCTCTGTTATTTAGATACTGAAGGTCACCAAAACCAAGTTATCTTTTCCTGGGCTTGGCCAGTCCCTATAATAAAGCAACTGCTGTTGTATATTTTCATCCACCACTAGATGTCAGTTCTTTCAGTAATAGACAATCATTTACTTCTATTTTCATGATATAAAAGGAAAATCTTAACAGATACCACCAATTTCAAACTTATCCAAATTAAGACTTATATTCATTTCAGTATATTTCTTTTTCCCCTGAAAAGTTTAATTTGCCGCTTCCATCTGTAGGAGGGTGGGGCAAAGATCCCCCTTTCTCATTTTCCAAGGCTTTTTGCTTCTTGGGTGTTTTCTCTTCTCCCCCCCCCCGCGGAAATCAATTTTCAAGTAGAAGAGAGAAAATCACTGTTCTTACCCAGTTCCAAACATGTTGTTTACAGTCAGCTTAAAGTAGTACTTTTGGACTCCGGCTGCTTGTAGCTTTGGCTAGACTCTGAAGTTAAGCTAGCCTTTCTCCTGCTGGTTTCTGGAGGGCTTTTCCCAAACTGATTGGATTGGCCACCATCTTTCCGCAATCAGCGGGACTTCCTTTCTTCTTTGTTGCCTCTATGGGGCAACTTCAGGCCCATTTAGGGTCCCCTAGCAGGCAGAAATTGGCCGTAGGGTGCAGAGCCCCGTGATCCCTTGGCCGCTGTGCTACTGCACAAATTTCTCCTTCTTTTAAGGGGGGGTAGCATGTTGGAATCCCCTTCAATATTTCTTTTCCGGGCTCTGCCATTCTAGTGGGAGGGGGAGGCTTTGCTTTCTTTTCCGGGCTCTGCCATTCTAGTGAGAGGAGGCAGGCTTTGCTCTGCTGGGAGGGGGCCTTATGGATGTATTTCTTCTACTTTGTTCTTTCTAAACTCTGATGTATCTCTTTGGGTGTGAAAAGGGGAAAGTAATATGCCTTATCAGCTTCGGTTCCCATAACAACTTTGCACCTGTGGATTGGTTGGACGTGAACAGCTGGGTCTGGGGTGGGGTTTTGTGAATGAAAGTTTTAATGTAGCAATTTGTGCAGGAAATCTTTAGATCTTGCTTTGCTCTCCTGCTATCACTAACCCTCAATAAAAGTTCCTGTTTGAAACAATACCAATTTCAAGAGTTCTGCTTTCTTGGGAGAATTAACTGAGGCAGGTCCTTACAGATATACAGCAAAATAGATCTAAGGAGAAAAACTGGTTAGATCCATGTCAAGGTGCTGACATAAATTGGCATTTTCTTAATAAAAGATTTTATTTAAGGAAGAACAAACAGGTACAGTGTTCATGCTTAAGGTATGTTGCAAATCACCATGCTATACATGGTGCAAAAAAGTGGATAAAATGCTGGAACATGGTTTATTTCAGCGAAGTATTCTCTTGATTTGAGTGCTAGGTATATAAATAGAAAATGCTATTGTAAAAAAACAGCTTCAAAGTGGCATATCACCAAGCACTATGAGAACAGAATTCTTTATCAGATAGAATAATTACAGGTGAAACTCGAAAAATTAGAATATCGTGCAAAAGTTTATTTCAGTAATGCATTTATTTCAGTAATGCAACTTAATATATGAGATAGACTCATTACATGCAAAGCAAGATAGTTCAAGTTGTGATGTGTCACAAGTGAGATGATTATGGTTTACAGCTCATGAAAATCCCAAATCCACAATCTCAAAAAATTAGAATATTGCATGCAATCAATAAAACAAGGATTGTACATAGAACAATATCGGACCTCTGAAAAGTATAAGCATGCACTCAGTACTTGGTTTGGGCCCCTTTTGCAGCAATTACTGCCTCAATGAGGCGTGGCATGGAAGCTATCAGCCTGTGGCACTGATGAGGTGTTATGGAAGGCCAGGATGCCTTCAGCTCTTCTGCATTGTTCAGTCTCATGTCTCTCATCTTTCTCTTGGCAATGCCCCATAGATTCTCTATGGGGTTCAGGTCAGGCGAGTTTGCTGGCCAATCAAGTACAGTAATCCCACAGTCATTGAATCAGGTTTTGGTGCTTTTGGCAGTGTGTGCCTCTCCATTCTTCCTCCAGACTCTGGGTCCTTGGTTCCCAAATGAGATGCAAAAGTTGCTCTCATCAGAAAAGAGGACTTTGGACCACTGAGCAATAGACCAGTTCTGTTTTTCTTTAGCCCAGGTAAGACGCTTCTGACGTTGTTTGTTGTTCAGGAGCGGCTTGACAAGAGGAATACGACATTTGAAGCTCATGTCCAGAATCCATCTGTGTGTGGTGGCTCTTTTTTTTTATTGTAAATATTTATTAAGTTTTTTAAAATTTTACAGAAACAAAACAACCCATCCCCAAACCTCCCCAACCCTCCCATTCCCTCCCCCGAGCTTCCCAGGCTTAATTAAGATTTCTTCGAATAATCTAAAAGAAAGTATAAACCATAATTAAATCTAAATACTAAAAACATTAATTAAACAAATTATAAGATGATTAACAATAATATATATATAAAGAATATATAACTATCAAAAGAATAATACTTAAAAGAAAAAAGAATAAAAAAAATAAAAAAATAAAATCCTCTCCAGGCTGCGGTCATCCCTGCTGCTTGTGCACCTTTTTCTTCCACACTTTTCCCTTCTACATAACTTTCTATTAATGTGCTTTGATACAGCACTTTGGGAACATCCAACTTCTTTTGCAATTACCTTTTGAGGCTTTCCCTCCTTATGGAGGGTGTCAATGATGGTTTTCTGCACAACTGTCAGGTCAGCAATCTTTCCCATGATTGTGATTCTTACTGAACCAGACTGAGAGACTATTTAAAGGCTCAGGAACCTTTTGCAGGTGTTAGCTGATTAGAGTGGGACACTTTGAGCCTAGAATATTGAACCTTTTCACAATATTCTAATTTTCTGAGATTGTGGATTTGGGATTTTCATGAGCTGTAAGCCATAATCATCTCACTTATGACACATCACAGCTTGAACTATCTTGCTTTGCATGTAATGAGTCTATCTCTTATATTAGGTTCACCTTTTAAGTTGCATTACTAAAATAAATGAACTTTTGCATGATATTCTAATCTGACCTGTACCTGACCTGAAAAATCCTCCTGTTTTAGGATTCAAGGAAGAATTTAAATAATTTAATTGATAGAAAATTCTTCCTGTATAATTAGGAAATCTAAGCACATGAATTTCTTAATTTGACATAACAAAGTGGTAAGATAGTAATTTGATATTCAGACAGTATCCAAAGGTTAACGCCAATAACTTATTGGTTTCAAATGTTTTCAAAATTCAACAATAGGCCAAAAATAAATTACAACCTCTTTCTCACATTTTCCATAACCAGCACAATAATGATCAATATCAAAATGAAGAGAATATTTAAATCCTATCAGATATGGCATTACTTACTTGGCCCATTCTGGGTGATTGGCTACTGTTTCATTAATCAACCTGCTTGTTACTTCAATCATATGTACACTTTCCTGATGAACCTAATGCAATATAAAGGTAAGAAAAAAATTAATGTCTCACACCATTAAATACATGGGATTCCAGAAAGAGCTTCGGATTTTCTTTGAGGATCTAGTGATTGGTTTGGCCTTGCATTGTATCACTCCTAAGTGGCATTTTTCTGGGTGATGATCCCAGAATGAGCTGTGCTTTACTGAAGGAATTAGAGAGATAAAAGCATCTGAAAAAATCTTAGAATACAACTGGAGGAAGACTGAAAATAAGTCTGATTGGATACAGATAAGATCCCATATTAAAGATTATTTTGTGGGGATAAGGGTAGCAAAATATCAGTATTTCTTTGTCTTAAAAGTAGGGGAATCAGAAATTAATAGTTTGCATTATTATATTATTATAATAATGCAAACTATTAATCTGTAATTAAATTCACAGTCTAAATTGATGAAAACTTGGTAATTCAAATCTTAATGAAGGACATAAGAAACATTAAGATAGCGCCTGAGAATAAAGGTAATTCCAACTAGAACCAATTTTTTTTTGTAAAATTAAGGTGTTTAGGTCTGATAAATTCAAAATTTCTAAATACTAAGAAAGTCCTTTAATTATTTCTCCAAGGGCTCCAATCATAATTCATATAACAGCAGATTTATTTTTCTATAAGAATTCAATTTTAATCTGCAAATCCTAATATTTTGTAATTTTTTTCTAATTGCATTTCCTTAATCCTATTACCATCCAATATAGCAATATCAGTGAAAAAGACTGTTATAGCAATCATGTTACGACAAGGTGCCTGCCTATTAATTTTGATAGTTTGGTCATGACACTGCTTAGAGTCAAGTTGTGAAATTTTACTGCAGCCACTATCAATCATTTCGTTCTTTTCACTACAAAAGTGACATTTGCTGTTCTTTTTTACCTGCTGAATTTTCACTTACATGCAATTAGTTGGCAAAGTTTGTTATTGACCTACTAAAATAATGCTTTAATACTTTAATTCTTTAATACTTCTGATCTTAAACCAGCCTCATGTTACCTTCTGTTGATTTATTGGCTTCTTCTTCCAATTTACAAATTGATTTTCAAGTGTTTCTTTTCTATACTCAATCTGCATTTTTGTTATTTTCAAGAACTATTCTTGATTTGACTTCCTTCAGCAAGGATTGTTGGTTTTTATTGATATGGTCATTGAAGTCATAATTTTCTTCCTCCAATTTGTTTCGCCTGTAAGAGTGTTCCTGCCCCCTTCAAGTTTTTATAGCTACAGCCAACAGCCAATAAACATTGGTTTTGGGGGTATGAAGCATAGTTTATTCTCATTAATTTCTTTTTTTTCTGTCCAAATTATCAAGTTCCATCTGGGTCCAATCAATTATTCCTGCTGTGTATCAGGACTGACTAAGTATTAATGGCTTTGATGATATTTCCACCATTTAATTTTGATTTCAAAATTTTCTGAATTCATTTGATATATTTATTAGAAATGCATTTTTGGCTTGTTCTGTAGTAAATCTGAAGGTTCCAAAACTTCCAAATATTTGTAGACTTTTTACTGCCTTTATCAAAATTTTATTATCAAAGAGTACTCCATCATTTTCATCAATTTTGCCTGACTTTGTAGCTATGGTAGCATACTTATCCTAGAGCTAAGGAGAAATTTCTTGATAATTAACCAGTGGAACAGGTTGCCTTCAGAAATTGTGAGTGCTCCATCCCCTGGAGGTTTTTAAGAAGAGAGCCATTGGTCTAGAATGGTATAAGGCAGTGATGGCAAACCTATGGCACAAGTGCCAGAGGCAGCACTCAGAGCCCTCTCTGTGGGCACGTGCGCCATCACTCCAGCCCCGCCTCCCGTTGCGGCCCCCTCACCAGCAGCTACCTTGGAGAGTCACCCCCGAGTGTGGCCCACATGGAACAGTGCAGCCAAGAACATGGCAGCCAGGCAGTGGGAACAAGACTCCACTCTTATGCCCCATCGCAAGCAGTTGATGCTGTGGGGTATGTGCGGAGGGCATGACAGACATGGCACTGCTAGACTGCCTGGGCAATCGGCAGGCCATGGAGGCAGTGAGTGGCCCTGTGGGCTGGCAGGGGGTGGGGGCAGTGTGGATGGGGGCAGGAATGGGGGCAAGGCAGATGGGGGCAGGGGCAGGGCTGGTTTTTGGGCACTCGATTTCTAAAAGGTTCACCATCACTGGTATAAGGTCTCCTGCTTCTGCAGGGCATTAGACAAGAAGACCTCGAAGGTCCCTTCCAACTCTGTTATTCTCTGGTATTGCTACATCAATTATCCACATTTTCTTTTTTTAACCACATCTAAATCTGATGTGTTATGAGTCAAGATTCTATCAGTTTGAATCTGGAAATCTCACAATAATTAATCTGCTTACGTTAGACTACTTTTTCAGCTATGCCTTTGCACCAATTTTTCATTACTGGCACATGATAATTTTTATGGATGTTCCAGTAAATTATTTTAGCAACTGTGTAATGTTGTTTATAATCAGTTTGTTTGAGCTGAGTTTATCTACTGTTTCTTCTGCTTCTTTGCACAACATGCACTTTGAATCATTTTATGACTCTTGTTATTACTCCATACATAAAAACTTGAAATCATGGCTGCCATTCTTTAACTATTGTTATCCGTCATTTACAGTGAGTTTATCTTAACAATTTTTTCCCCTTCTGTTCAATCATATCAGGTTTAGGCAACTTCCTGGACAAATCCCTGCACTTTTCATGAAAAGGATTTTCAGAAGTGGTTTGCCACTGCTTTTTTTCTAGGACAAAAAGTTGCTGCCCCAAGGTTACCAAACTCAGGGTCTCTCAGTTTCTAGCCTGATGCTGTAACCGCACCACTAAACTGACTCTCTCTCAAGAAAACCTAGGATGTTGCAAGGTATTGGCATAGTATATGTGTGGATCCAAGCAGCCTCTGTAATTGACAACTGGAACACTTGGCGATGCACAGATTTCTTAAGTGTCATCCAAAGTCAGATGTTTAGACAGGATTTGGCATTTTTATCCACCTATCAAGTCCTTCCCAAGTATCTGGGATAGGCAATAGTTGTTTCCTAGCTTTAAAGGTACTGTCACAGAATGGAAGCTATTTCAGTTGCCTGAATTCAATTGTTGTCTTTTGCAATTGGCTGGTTGTGATTTTGTCAATGCTGATAGTGTTCAAGTGGTCCTCCAGATGTTTGGAATTGCACCCAAGGTACCTATTGCTATTGGTATTACCTTTGCTTTATTTACCACAGTTGTCCTACTTCGATTGTATTTTGTGATTTTCTCTGGATCATTATCTGCTTTATAGTCTGCTGTCTCCAGGTATTGCAACATTCACTATCCAACATTCATTTCCAGGTTTCATCCACATTGTTCTCTAGTGGAATTCATTGCATTTTTAAAATAGTTTCAAAGTCTTAATATTCAAAATCCAATACTCCAATGTTTTCTCAATGGTTATTTTTTAAAAAACTTTTTGTAGTTGTAGCAAAGTTGTCTGAGAGTGTTTGCAGGAGCTTGGTTGGGAAGGAAGAGATTGGGACAGCTGCTGCTGGCTTTGAGTGTGGCCGGTGTGGCTGGAGGAGAAGATAGAAAAGAGAAGGAGAGACGGGAGGGGGGGGTGCAGTTCGTCAGATGAAGGTAAAGGGACTGGAAGTTTTATTTGTTTTCTTCGTAATGAGGATATTTTAAACAGAGGCTAGAGGGGGGGAGAGTGTGGAGTTTTTGCTTCCTTCATGAGGAGGATATCTCAAATGGAGGCAAGAGAGAGATTGTGTGGAGAGGAGTTGGCAGAGACTCCTAGCCTCAGATTTTAACAATAAAGGAGGGGGGAGGGTTTTGACGCTGAAACCTGACTGAAGGAGAAGTAACAGAAAGAGAGGAAAGACTGGGGGTGGCTATTGCTGCTGAGGAGCCTGGAAACAATTTGGACTGTGACTATCACTGCTACTACAGGTTTTAAGACATTGTGAGGGAGTTGCCCCAGGGAGGGGGATGAGCTACTGCTACAGCACATTGACTGTTGCTGTTTCTACTACCGTCTGGAGTCGGGGTTTTCTCTCCATCCCACTTGACTCTGAACGATCACTGAGGAATCTTTTATTCCTGCTGCTATACCGGCCTTGGGCTGTTGGATATCATCATAGCATTGACTATCATGACTGGTTATTTTCGTTCCTGGAAGCCCCTCCTTGACAAGAGCCTGCTACCTACTAATTCTGCATGAGCTCCGGCTGGAAGACACATCTTATCAACCCCTAGAGAACACTACTGCAGGGCTTGACAAAGGGGGCTGGGGCTGGGAGGGCCTGGGTTTTTTTGCGGCCTCTGAGGAGGTAACGCTACACGTGGGGGCTCGTCCGGGATTTCCTGCCTGGCCCCTCCCCTTAGTAAGGAACGGTTAGTATTGTGTAGGGATATGAACCAGGAGAACAACATGGACTCTAATGCGGCCACCAGGTGGTGTAAGGAGCAGAATAGTGAAGTGAGGACAAGTGTAGTAATGAAGGTCCTGGTAATGTTTGGTCAAAGAAGCGAATTTTACAGACATTAAGGGGCGTTGTTCCAGATCAAAGGGTATATGTGATAGATATGAGGGTAAAAGAGGATTCCCATTTTTATGTACTGCTGGAATGGAAACAGAGCATCCCAGAGTGTTTTCAGGTTCAAAGTCTGCAATTAACAGAATATACCAGGATGGGGGTGATTTTTCCCACTGTATGGGGCATACCTTTGACCAAACCACTAGGCCAGAAGAAAGAGAAGTGTGTTTCCCTATCTACGGGGATAGCAGAAGTAGGGGGAAATTTGGTTTCTGTCCAAAATCCAACTGGAGGTTGCTGTACAGGGGCCGGATATAGGAAATTACGTATTTTTTCGGGGATGCAACCGGTACCAGAAGGAGAAGAGGAATACGAAGCCTGGATGGAGCAAGCAATACAAGCAGTTGAGGAGTGGGATATACTGGATACCCAGAAAAGACAACGGGTTAGAGAGAGCTTAAAGGGCCCTG